TGGAACCCGAGGCAACCGTAGCCCGCACATCGGCACGTTTTGTGTAAGGCTTGTCCTTACAGTTGGGGCACTCGAAATGTCGGTACCCTTGCTTCCCGCAGCCAAAACAACTGCCGGGGAAGTCTCCTTTTCCGATGGCCGCATTGATGCTGGCCGAAGCTCCTTGTGGTCGAGGTGCACCACCACGTGCCCCACCGCGTCCTCGGCCTCGGGCCGAGAAGAAATTGTTCAACTCAGGCCGCCGGGCCCGGCTAACGTTGAGGATTTGCTCGACCTCGGTGGCGCGCTTGTCAGCGGCTTGCCACGTGGCGAAGGTCTCGAGCTCGATCTTGCGATAGACGCGGGAGGGGATGCCGCTCAGGTACTTGTCGCGAAGTTCCAGGTCCCCATACCCGGAACAGTCCGCCGGACCCTTGAACAGCGCAGAGAATTCTGCGGCGGTGCGCTTCTCGCGCATGGTTTTGTCAGCACAGAGCTTGGTGAGCTCCACCTGTGCCACGGCGGCGTCGTCAAGATTTCCGAAGCGGGCCTTGAACACCGTGAGAAAGGCCATTTCGTTGGCGAAGGGCGTTGTTGCTCCCTGAGTCCCAATCTGGACAGCGGCGAGCTGGGCGAAGATGGGAGTGGCCCAGGCTCGTGCGTCACCATCGAGGAGGCTAAGGGCAACTTGGACCTTCAGCTCGATGGTGGAGAGGGTCGTGTCAACCGCCCAGTAGATGAGCAACTGGGAGACGAAGCGGTTGCACTCGACGACTGTTTTTCCATCATATCGGAGGGGGAGGAGGAGCTTCAATGTTTCCTTGTCAGGGGCGGCGGCAGGAGAAGACATTATTGGCGACGAGGGGGACGAAGGACTGCCCGCGGATGAAGGCGACTGTTGTGACTGTCCGCCGGGCGAACTTCGCGAGGAACGAGTGCTCGGGCGGCCTCGCGGCGGAGACGGCGGTGAAGGCGCTGGAGGAAGCCCGGGGGAGGGGTTACGTACGTCAGGGACTGCTGACGTGGAGGCGAGCGCTGTCGGCGAGGCGGGCCGAGCAGAATCCGCGGACTCGGACTCCGAGACTCCTTCTTCACTCGCACTCTCCTCAGGCTCAGGCTTTGGTGCAGGGTCTGGAGGGAGATCTCCTCGCACTTGACTGGGTCCGGCGACAGTTTGAGGAAGGCGGGAGCTGGGGGAGACAGGGCGAGAGTGCCGCGAGGCGGATCGAGATGCGAGGGTGCTGCGGGGTCCGAGTGGATGTTGGGCCCTTCGGATTGCCTTGTAGCGTGGGTAATCTTGCGCGACTGACCGGGGTGTCCGATTGGGGCACGGCTGCTGCTCGCAAGTGTAGATGATAGTCTCAGGGCTGTCTGGGATGTAAACGTCGACGAGGTCCTGAGAGTCGAAGGCATGAACCTGGCCTTGACAGGCAGCCACAATGGATGGGGGGAGGACGGGGAGGTGCGCGTACTACAAAGGCCGTTGATAGGCGCCAAGCCCCTCTGGGCCCCGATACACCTCTTTTCGGCAGTCGCATCCCGTCCGGCACTTCGACTCACTCACCCAACACTTCGATTTCGCCTTCGACGCTCTTCGACATCTTCGACGGTGCGCGACGCTTGCTCGAAGCTCGGCACGGTCGTCCCGATGCCTCGTGCGTAGATCTCGGGACATCTCCCGCATTCGGCAGACAATAGGGCCACTTGACGCCGTTTGTCCAAGCGCGGGCATCACTCCGTGCCACACCGACATAGCCGGTCTTTCCCGATTAGGTATCGAACCTCGCGGCATGCCTTCGACGACGGATACCGGTCCGAAGTGTCTCGTATGTTTCTCTTCATCTCCGTGTTCGGCATGACGTCACTCTACCAATGGACTTGATACGTGCCACTCGGTGAGGCAGACTCGTGCGGGACAATGCAAAGCCCCTTGTACTAGTGTGCCACTCTCGATAGTCGTAGCGTCCCTTGCGTAGTATAAAATCTGTCGTACTTCTCTCCAAAAATACAAGATCCGGTTCCCCCCTCGAGTTCAGAGCTCATAAGGCGAGTTCGCCCTGCGTCTAAACCTTCAACTGCGTCACTTCGTTCCTCGCTGCGTAACCTCGAAACCTCGTCTACTGCATTTACTCGTCGATACCGTCTCGACGAACCTTTCGACTTCGGCTATTATCGAAGAAACTGTGTTGCATCTCGAACCGCGTTCTAGCTAGGTACCCCCTATCGAATTGTGTCGCTTCCCTCTACGATACATCGAAGAGCTCTGCCGAGCTTCGATTGTCTCTACCGACCCCCGCTAACTACCCCCAGCCTCCGAGTAGCTTCGACGACGTGTCGAGCCACCTCGTACCTTCCCTAGTGTTCGTAGCCTTTTCCGAGGGCATTTCTCGTGTTCACTCGAACTGCGGGACACCTTGCTGCTAACTCCCCTCTCACTAAGACAATAACCTGCCTCTAGTCCACCTAGGTCGTACCCAGGTTAGGGGTTAGGGTTTCGTAGATCGCATCACTGTGCTATACTAGCTTACACCTATGGTGCCCAAAGTAACGCTAGGGTTCGCGATTCACGTGGGGCCCAGTACTGCTTTTGGCTAGTATGCAGCAGGAACCTAGTCCATGTGTCCGTTAGGACAAACACCGCCCACTGAAGTGCAGGTGTTGAAAGGTTCGTTCCCTAAGTGGTGGCGATGTATAGTACGCTATCTATGTATCGTAGGGTAAAGTAAGGGTGTGCACCACCCAACCTATAGGAAGTGAATGTGAGTTGTGGGAGTCCCGAGGGACGCCGGCAGCTATGGGCAGTTTCGACCTAATGTCGCGACTTGAGGTCAAGCGACAGAGGAAGACCTAAGAGCTGGGGGCGTCCGACTAAGTCTCACCGAAGCGATGGTGAGCAGCGCTCAAACCTAAGGCTAGGGACAAGTGAATATATTAGTTAAGGTAGGAAAGAATACAAGAGAGGCTTACTGACCTAGGGACAAGAGGTCGAAACTGAGGTCCCTAGGGCAGCAGAGGCCGGCTTATATACATGGGGAGATAAGGGCAGGCTGTGCACACTGGTCCGTGCGCAGCTGGTCCGTGCGCAGCTGGTCCGTGCGCAGCTGGTCCGTGCGCAGCTGGTCTGTGCACAGCTGGTCTGTGCACAGCATGCTGATGCGGCCCCGGGGGCCGGTGAGTCAGAAAGGCTGTGTCAGCGGAGCCCGAGCTGTGCCGTGCACTGCCGCCCCATCTAATCTAATCGTACAGTAGATAACGACGCGTCCATATCGGGCATGTAGTACAGCGGTCGTGGGTTCGAGCCCGCAAAAAGGAAAAAATTAAAAAATGGCTAGACACCATACCAACTCATGACACTTACAGTAGTAAATCACATGACCGCATATGGTACATTTGTTCTGTACTTGGTTCCCTACATGTTTGCTGGTTACAAGCCATGTCAAACACTGTTGATTTCTACCATCTTCAGTATAAATCAATGCTATGAATATAGTATCAATAAAGAAGACAAGTGGAAGACAAGTAAGCTGACCAAGACACTCAAGCACAGAGTCTGCTGTTCAGCATGAAGCACCCATTGTCTCCGGTGTACAGAAAACCTCCTCATTATGGAGTTCCGGACACTGTGGAGATGTACCAAACAACTTGCTAAGGTATGTCATTGCACCTCTCGCATCCATAATAAGCTGATGGGTGCCGCACCAAAGGTCCAAACTAGTACTGCAGGCCCCAGGCTTGCTGGCCTGGCTCGGACTTCCTGTCAGTGAAGCCAGGCCCTACCAGAGGGCTTGCATAGGGCTTTGGCCTGGCTTGGCTGTTGAAACGCGCAGCCCCGCGTGGTCAGGAATGAGCTCGAAAGCTCGGGCGCGCGAGTAGCCAGGGGCCGGAGGCCCCTATCGTAGTATATAACAACCCCGCACAATGTACATACCGCACACGATTGTCCCTTACGGGCCTCACTACGCCCGTGAACAAACGCGCCCCACACCGTTCACACCCTTGTTCCAACATTGGCTTGGCCTATCCGGGCTTGGCTTGGCCTGGCTCAGGCTTCTGAGCCAGGCCCAGCACAACACTATCTATTACGCTCACCTACTCAGTGCACCCAGTGTCATATATGACGTCCTCCTGTTTGGTCAAATATATGACACTGGCACGCCCAGCCTTCCGTGTGGGTGCGTCATCATATATGATGCCACCCACACTTGGAACAGCACCATATATGCTGCTGCCCACTTCGAGCGCACCATCATATATGCCGCTGCCTGCTCTGAGCACGTGTTCATATATGATGGTCCCAGACTGGGCAAATATATGACACCGGCATGCCCTGCATCCAGTGCAGGTGCACCATCATATGCACCCAGTTTCCAGTGTGCGGGCGGTGTTATATATGACACCACATGACCTGTAGAGCGGCAGCATGCTCTATGCTCAATGTAGCATCATTTATAATGCTCTCCCATTTGGGCAAAGGGCCACGTGTCCGGTCATCAGTGCGACCACCACATTCAGCATGCAGGTGGCACATCCAATAATCAGCATGCGGGCGGCACTTTTGATAATCTGCATGTCCGGTCACCAGCATGACCACCACATTCAGCATGCGGGCACCATGTCTGGTCATCAGCACGAGCCCACCGCATTCAGCACAGGGGTGGTGCATCCAATAATCAGCGTGACCATGACATTCAACATGCGGGTGGCCTGTTCAAGTGAATGGCAGCACATCCAGTTCCCAGCATGAGCATGGTGTCATATATGACACTGCTTGATATTCAGCACATGAGCAGTGTCATATATGATGCTGTGTATATGTGGCATCATATATAATGCTGCCTGTCAATCAGTGCATGGGGAGCATTATATATAATGACCTCTTATTTGGGCATACATTGGTGCCTTGCTCTTTATTTATTCAGGCAAATTCATGATTGCAGTCTGCTACCTTGCTCTCAGCCCATTTGGGCAATTGTTTGATGGCCCAGTAAACATACATGACCTAATCAACAATCATATCTGCTGTAGCATCTATCATGGGCTCATTGTCACGAGTTGGTACGGCGTCTAGCCGTTTTTTAATTTTTTCCCTTTCGCGGGCTCGAACCCACGACCTCTGTACTACATGCCTGATGATACAATGGTTTATACTCCTATATCGATGCCTGACTCGTAGACAACGAGCGAGGACTTATGGACAGTACGTCGTCCTGAAGATCGAGCGAGGAAGTCAAGAATGACCACTACCCCAAGCGAAGAGGAGCAGAGACTTGAATGAATAACCAGGTCGAACTTAGGGTTCGACCGACTAATGGTACAACTACTTATACAAGCACCGACTGCGCACGGACCATCGTGTCTATGTGGTCGTGTTAGTGAAGAAGGAAACGTAGTGGTACGATACCAGGCACGAAGTGCGCACGGACCCCATTATGTAAGCTACATAATGTTCAACCTGTGGGTGAGCGCTAAGACAGGCGCCGGTATGGGCGCTAGTAATACAAGGAATGGAACGGAACGATAAATGTTTCATTACCCCCCTACCAGAGTCGAAGTCCCATTTGACTGCTTACTGCTCACCATCTCCATACAACTCCCAATCTACACTGTTGTCCTCCTCTTCGTCAAACCACTCCTTGCATGCGTTCCTCCCTACGTTCATCCATTCCTCGCCAGAGAGGTGCTTCTGATTCAGCCAGGAGCTGTCCCACGTCCATTGAGTGGTGTCGGGTGTCTAGTCGGGGTCGACTTTGCGAAAGACGATGGGTGTATCGGGGCGGGGGCGCGAAGGTCCCGCGACGGAACTGGTCGGGGGTTTGGGGTTAGCGCTGCGCAGTGGAGGAATAGGTACCGCTTTTGTCTGCCTTTCTTTCTCCTTCCTCTCCTTCGCCTCGTTGATGATTCCCTCGAGGAACACGTTGTCGATGACCACCCCCATGCGTCGCGCAGGTTCTTCAGGTGGTGCGGATACGTGTCGCTTCATTGGTGTCACGAGTTGGTACAGCGTCTAGCCGTTATTTAATTTTTTCCTTTTCGCGGGCTCGAACCCGCGACCTCTGTACTATATGCTCGAACGGACAAGTCCTTATCTACTGTACGATTAGATTAGATGGGGCGGCAGTGCGCGGCACAGCTCGGGCTCCGCTGACACAGCCTCTCGGACTCACCGGCCCCTGGGGCCGCGTCAGCATGCTGTGCACGGACCAGGTGCACACGGACCAGTGCGCACAGCCTGCCCTCATCTTCCCCTGTATATAAGCCGGCCTCTGCTGCCCTAGGGACCTCAGTTTCGACCTCTTGTCCCTAGGTCAGTAAGCATCCTTTGTATTCCTTTTCTTACCTCACTAATATATTATCTTGTCCCTAGCCTTAGGTTTGAGCATAAGCTCACCATCGCTTCGGTAAGACCCAGTCGAACGCCCCCAGCGTCCCTTGTCTGTGTTTCCCCAGTTGCTTGACCCTAAGTCGCGACATTAGGTCGAAACTCCTCACCGCTGCTGGTGTTCATCGGAACCCACACACTCACTCAATCCTCTTCCCACAGGTCGGGTGGTGCGCACCCTTGCTATACCATACAATTCGTAGATAGCCTACGATACATCGCCAACACTCGAGAGACGAACTCTTCAGTACCTGCACTTCAGTGGGCGGTACTTGTCCTCACGGACACGTAGCCTTGGTTCCTGCTGCACACTAGCCAAAAGCAGTATTGGGCCCTACGTGAACTGTGAATCTCAGTGTCATCTCGGGCGCCGTAGGTGTAAGCTAGATTAGCACGGCCTTTCGTAGTACGCGCACCTCCCTGTCCTCCCCCCATCCAACGTGGCTGCCTGTCAAGGCCTCGTTCACGCATTCGACTCTCAGGACCTTGTCGACGTCTACATCCCAGACGGTCCTGACACCCTCATCCGCACCTGCGAGCAGCAGCCGTGCCCAAATCGGACACCTCGATCGATCGACCAGGACTATCCGCGCTACAAAGCAATCCGAAGGGCGCAACATCCACTCGGTCCCCGAAGCACCCTCGCATCTCGATCCGCCTCGCCGCATTCTCGCCCTATCTCCCCCAGCTCCCGTCTTCCCCGACCGGTCGCCGGTCCAAGTCAAGCACAAGGAGATATCCCTCCAGACCCTGCGCCAGAGCAAGAGCCTGAGGACAGTGCGAGTGAAGAAGGAGTCTCGGAGCCCGAGCCCACGGATTCTGCTCGGCCCGCCTCGCCAACAGCGCTCGCCTCCACGTCAGCAGTCCCTGACGTACGTGACCACACCCCCGGGCTTCCTCCAGCGCCTTCACCGCCGTCTCTGCCGTGAGGCCGCTCGCGCACTCGTTCCCCTCGAAGTCCGACCAGCGGAGGGCCACCACAGCTGCCTCCGCCCCGGCGCCGTCCTCCGTCCCCCCCGGCGCCGATAATGTCTTCTCCCTCGACTGCCCCCGACAAAGAGACCCTGAAGCTTCTCCTCCCCCTCCGGTATGATGGCAAAACCATCATCGAATGCGACAGGTTCCTGTCACAGCTGCGCATCTACTGGCTGGTCAACACGTCGTTGACCACCATTGAACTCAAGGTGCAGGTTGCACTAAGCCTGCTCGATGGAGATGCCTGCACCTGGGCCACCCCTTACTTCGCCCAGCTCGTATTGGTACAGCTAGGTGTTCAAGGAATCACGACCCCCTTCGCCAATGAGGCGGCCTTTGCTATGGCCTTCAGGGCTCGCTTCGGCAACCTCGATGACGAAGCAGCAGCACAGGTGGAGCTCACCAAGCTCTGTGCTGACAAAACCATGCGCGAGAAGCGCACCGCCGCAGAATTCTCTGCGCTGTTCAAGGGTCCGGCGGACTGTTCCGGGTATGGGGACCTGGAACTTCGCGACAAGTACCTGAGCGGCATCCCCTCCCGCGTCTATCGCAAGATCGAGCTCGAGACCTTCGCCACGTGGCAAGCCGCTGACAAGCGCGCCACCGAGGTCGAGCAAATCCTCAACGTTAGCCGGGCCCGGCGGCCTGAGTTGAACAATTTCTTCTCGGCCCGAGGCCGAGGACGCGGTGGGGCACGTGGTGGTGCACCTCGACCACAAGGAGCTTCGGCCAGCATCAATGCGGCCATCGGAAAAGGAGACTTCCCCGGCAGTTGTTTGGCTGC